AAAATAATGTGGATCAAACACACCCTAGATAATGGCAAAAAAATAAAAAATCAATCAATCAATCACTTATTCCCCTATACACTTAATTCCAATGGTTATTGTATATGTATTTGCATATAAATTATTACTCATGTTTTGAGTCCATTTTTCAAAAATAAATTTTGTAAATAATATATGATTAAAAAGTAAAAATAAATTTTATATTTACGTTTAAAATTATTTTAACGAAGCAACATGTAATTAAAAGTGAATTTGAAAAAAAAATAAAAATTAATAAAGAACGAAACTCAAATAGAACTCTATTCTAACAAGACGTACCTTTCTATCATGATCTTTGAATAGAGTTAATAGATTGTCATAAAAAAGTTACTACATAATAGACAAGATTTTACATAAGAATGCCAAAAGATCTTGCTTTTACCCACCATGGAGAATTGGCGTCCCAGCTCTTATTTTAATTTTATTTTATAATTCAAAATTTAAATCATATCTAGAGCTTGTTTGACATAATTTGTTCTAATTGAAAAAATATAGTTAAAAATGGGAAAAGTTACGTTCCATAGAATCTTTGGTGTATGAAAATAATTTTTGAAAAGAAATTGCGGCAAACAAGCTCTTAAAAAAACCCCCAAGTCCTGGAGAGACATGTTGAAAAATTAAGATATTTTAATCATGAGTTTATCTACTTGTACATAATCATGTCTTGCAGTAGTCATCTTTAATTATACGATACAATGAATAAATTTTTATTTACTATAAAATGTCGAATGGCAAGACAACCAGTAAAAATGGAAGTAATGAAGCAAAACACCTTCTCGTGACATCTAGCAGCAACTGAATGGCAAGTAAAAGATAATCTTCGATGTGCACCAGTGCAACATTGAAGCACAACGCAGCATATACCCACAAATCCGAGGGGGGCAGGTGACGGGGAGAGGGAGAAACAGTTAAGCACTGTTAATAACAGAAATTTTATTTTAAAGCCATAGATAGAAGAGCTGAAGGCATATGGTATTTAGCTTGAATTCCATCAAAATCACTATTCCTAATTATCAATAATCCAGATGATTGAATGTCGAGGAAATTCATTTAAACTACATAATGTTTTGGCACAAAGAAAAAAGAAAAAAGAAAAACATGCTACTTAAGAGATCCAATAGAAAACCATAAGTGAGGACAAGTCACAGCCTCCTTCCCCTTCTGCCACCCTTTCTCCGAGTGCTGTCAGTAGGAATTGGAGTCACGTCCTCTGAAAGAAGATCAAATAAGTAATAACCACTAAATGATTCAGTCCATTAACAAAAATATTGGAAAGCATTTTTATGTAAATAAATAAAAAAAACAATGTTCAAATAAAAGAGGATTCAATGTTGGGCATTTGATCATTAGTATTAGTAAAATCAATGTTAGATGTCTACTTTTGCATCCAAAAAAAAAAAAAGATTGCATGCAACTGTGAATGATGAACAAATTGACACTTGATAGATTTAGTGGATTGATTGCAGGAGTAAGAGTTATGATCATATTGCTTAACACCGAGACAAGCCCAACTGAATCACAGAAAATCATATACCTATGCGACCAATCTTCATGCCTGAACGTGCAAGGGCTCTAAGTGCAGACTGTGCACCAGGACCAGGGGTCTTAGTTTTGTTCCCGCCAGTTGCTCGAAGCTTAATATGAAGGGCATTTATTCCAAGCTCCTGCAAAATTCCAAGCAGTAAAACAATTGACCATACAATCAATCAGAATTGAGAAAATCCTGTCAGTGTTTGTTACGAACATAGGAAAGAACCTAAACCTTGCAACGTTGAGAGACATCCTGTGCTGCAAGCATAGCTGCATATGGTGAAGACTCATCCCTGTCAGCCTTCACCTTCATACCACCTGCAATCCCAAGGGAAGGAGATGAAAAAAAACCCTAATTTGACGTTTTCAATAATTTAGGGCATGTGAAAACATTGAATCTGATTGCAAAATACCCATCAACCTTACAGCGATATTGCAAATTGGTACACATTTACTTTGACAAAACTAATAGGGTCTTAATAGCTGTAATGAACATCAGCAGCCATGATCCAACTCATTCCAAGTCTTGAACAATATATCACCCAGGAGATCACATTTTAAAAGAAACATAAACTAATAACCATGAAGATTTTACAGCCTAAAGCAATCGAAAACCATATTATTTAAACCAAAAGCATAAACCCTCTACCTGTAATACGAACCATGGTCTCCCTACCAGACAAATCAGTCACGTGCTGCAAGCACAAAGCCAATGTGATTAATAGGTCATGTCAAACAGTTGTTTCCTGCTTTCTAGATGTGCACAACAGACATCAATCAAGAATTGCAAACTGTAATACTCACGATGAAGGTGTCATTAAATGAAGCAAAAATGTGGGCCACACCAAATACTAGTTCTCCATCTCTAGTGGCAGGTCCGAGAGTGACATTCTCTTCCTTGGGCTCTCTGGTCTTTCTCTTCGACTATTACATGACAAAATGAAATGAATCTCAATAAAATCATAAAATTCAATGTGTCATGCTTGTCAAAAAGATCCCTCATCCAATTAACTTGGAAAAGTTGAGCAATATATTAATCACTCGTGATCAGTATTCCTTGGATAAGTTGAGACAATAAAAAGAAAATTAGACCTGGTAAAAGAATGAGCAAAATGATAGCACATTGCTCCTGAAGATTAAAAAAAAATCTAACACTATATTTTCTTGTTAGTAGAACTCGGATGGAAAATAATGTTCAAGACTAGTTTTGCAACATTAGAGAACAGATTAATTAAACAACAGTACAGGTAAATTACACATCATTCTTGAAAACCATTCAAGTCTCCCATAGATATTTTAAGAGAAATAACCACGGAAACATTTAAATCCTAGGAGGAGCCCTTGTGAAGATGAATCTCAATGTGAAGCCATTTATCTTTATGAGCATAATCACGTATCTCATAAAACAATTGGATCAATCAAAATGAGCTCCCTGCCCAAAATAAAGCCTTTTTTTTCCAAAGAAAATTTATTCTTTCTAGTTAGCATCGAATCCAAATCAAAGAATTTACATGAAGAAAATGAAAAATCAAATAAATTTCGACAGAAATTAATTCACCAATAAATTGATTACTTTCTAGAATCGTGAAAGATTAAACACAACCACAATGTTTAAATTTGTACCCCATCAGAATGCCCCAACCTCGATTAAATGATAAAAATGTAGAAAAGGAAAATAACGTAAAATACAGAGACACATTCATAGATGTGTGTCTATTAAGAGGCGCTGTTGAAGAGGCTTACCATGGCTTTGGGCAATAAGACGACAAAGTAGAAAATGCTGGGCGTCTGAAGCTGGGAAAGCCCTAGCAATGAAGTGAGGACGTGTACTCGTCAAATTATATAGCTAGGGTTTTGGGCACAGAAGAGGGATTTGACTTTCCCTAAAAGCCCCTCCAGTTTCTTCATATTGCGGATGAACCCGAAATTAAAAAAATAAAACAAGTAAAGAAAAAACAAAGGGGAAAAATTTTTGGCCCTGTTTGGACCACATTATTTTTTTTCATTCTTATTCTTCTACTCATTTTTAACTATACATTTTTCAATAAAATAATATTTGTCATCACATCAATAACTTTCCTTCTTTTTCAACAGCACATATCCAATCAATCTACTATTCCAAAATACATTCTTTCAAAATAATGTGGCTCAAACATACCCTTAGTTTATAATGTTGTTAATTTTTTGGGTTTTTGAAATTTTCAAATGATAATAATTAAGCTCTCGTTTGACTCTCATTATTCCTCATTAAATTATAATTCATTTTTCTCTTTCTTCTAGTCATATACACATTTTTCAATAAAATAATATTGCACGTAAATTCAAAAAAATTTCGTTTTCTAACCATACATTCGTCAAAAAATTACTATTTCTCTCGTTATAACGTGGACTAATGGGTGTCAAACAGGGCGTTGAGGTGAAAGTTTCATTTAGAATAGGTCATAAAATGGGCTGAATCCAGCCGCTCAACTAGTTCACTATTAGGCTTAGCACTCGACGACCACTCGTGGTTTGTCAATTTTTATTTTTTAGTTCACTCATCAACTACGAGTCGATTTGCTAGTGACAAATAGGCTTGGGCGTGGTGCTGGGTTGGGTTAGTTTTTAGCCCAATCCGAATTACAATCGACTCAGTTGATTTGAAATTTCAACCCAAATTAAAATAAATCAATCAATTTGGTCAGTTTGAACATTGGTCTGAATTAAAAAAAAAAAACTTGCCTACTAACAAAAAATTTACTTGCATGTATATATTTCTTTGCTCGCTTAGTACATATCGATAATATATAATGTAAATGGTAAATGATTGATTTTTCAAAATTATCCTAGATATCCGATAATTCCAGACAAATAATTA